CAATCAGATTTGCAGGCGCCAGCTTAAAGGCAGGGTCTGGAGCCCGATCTCCTACTTTTACAAACCACAGAGACCAGGACATCACCACCTACAGCTTACACAATTCCCTCCTAATTTGGTAGCAAATAAATAAATAAGTAAAAAATACACTGTGTCCTTTTTCTCAAGAAGGGACAGCAAGGAGTAAGAGGACGAGGAGAAGGAGGGGTTCTAAGCAATGACTTCAACGGAGCATCTCACCGTCCCTCGAGCTCCGAGGACAATCTCATTGTGGGAATTCAGCTTTTAGATAGATTAAAAAAGACCCAGCGGGCACGCGGCCGGGAAACTAATGTTGCCAGCGCCGGTGCGGGAGAGCAAGTCGCAACTTTCGAAGCGCAAACACCTTGGGCGCTAGCTTGTTGGTGTGTGCCGGTGAAAGAGTCTGTCGAAACAAACATGGGTTCATGGTTTTACATGTCGAGGGCCAGAAGACTGTTCTGACAACATAATATTTACACCAATGCTGGGTTTTGCACAAATTCTCTCCAAGTGGTTTAATCTTCCACCTGTCCAAATTCACTTTCAGCCAGTTTTATCTCATGGACAGTATCCAGTCGTTCCTATAAAACTCACTGTAGATGGTCATCTGTGAAAGCAATAAGTTTTTCCTCTAACCTTTGCATGTAAATCAGCTCTCTGTGACTGTCCTAATGGAAGGTTTTTTACCTTGTGGGTGTGTCTTATGCGGCAGCCATCTTGGGTCCCAGCTAAAGAAGAGTCTTGCCTCAGACCCAACTGTTTTATAGGAATTGCAGTGGTGGGAGTTGGAGTCTGATTGACTGAAACGTAAAGTAGTTCAAAGAACAAAATGACGTGCATTTGCATACAGAAGATATTTAACCTCATATTTTATTATTGATAAATAATTGTTAGAGTAAGGTTACTTTGTTTCCTTTTGCACCTAATGTGGAAGGTTGAGCTGGGTGACCAATTTAAATCGAGAAGGCGGGGTTTGTCCTGTATGCAGGTGGACTGCTGGATGTGGCAGGGAGACTGATGGGAGGGCTGCCATTTTGAGATCTGCTGTTACCTCTGAGAGTTAATAAACCAGCTTCGTTAGCCATAAAGACAAGACTGACTGATGACTTCTCTTTCCCCACCACACCTTGCAGTGCAACAGTCACGTTCTCATTTTCTCCTTTTGTATTTTCCCTTTTTTTTCATGTTTTTTTTCCAACCTAATTTCTCCTGCAGCTAAAAATAATAGTCATAAAAAAGTTTGAGCTGCATGTGGAAACACTGTATTTTAGGAAAATTCAGCACCAATAACACAGGTGGACGTGTTCGGTGAAGAGGAAAACGGTCGACTGTAATGGCCAGTTTTCATTTGCTACTGTGCTAGTTGTACAAGTCGACAACGTATTTGTTTCCGATTTTTGCATTCAGAAAAGAAAAATTACTTTGTGTTGTACCTAACCTTTTTTCAATGAAAGAGGATTCTTACTTCATAGTAATAATTCAAGACAAAATCTGTCAAGAAAAGCTTCTTGGTAACACACTAATGTTGGCTGCTTGGTACCATTTTTACGCCTCCTGCCATGTCATTCACTCAAACATACATAAATTAGAATTGGCACGTCTTCTGTTTCTTTGCTTCGGGGCACTTCAAAGAATATTTTGTGCGCTTTGAAATCCCACAGTCAATATGGAAATACCTGTTGCTGTGGTTTATCAGCCAGGTAGCTCCATTTGTTGGCGGAAAAACCAGCAATCCTTTGAATATAGCACCGATAAAAATATATATTTCCCTCTCTGGTTGAAATAGCCAGCTAAATGGAAAGCAATGTGATGCAAAGCTCAAGCATACCCTGTACTTAAAAAAAAGAGGAAAAAAAGGACCAGTAATTGTGGTAGCTGATTTCCATACGATGACCCTGATGCTGTTTACTTTGTCTCCCGTTGAATGAGAAATTCTGGGAGCGAGACGAGCGATCACCACAACGGAGAGACTTAGTGACCGCTGATAATGTTATTACGCTTCTGACCAGCAAAAAAAAAAAAAGCTCTGCAGTGAAAGAACACACACACACACACTTAATCCATGTCTACACAACTTTAAAACCATTAGGGTGTACAGACATTTTCAATCTGAGGCCACTTTCGAATTCTAGCATCAGTGGTTGAAAGTCTGGGCGTTTGAATGAAACGTCTGTCAACCTCAGGCGGCCGCGCTGTCATGTCAGGCTTGCTGTGAGCATGTATGTAGCGTGTGGCACTGCGCGCTGAATGGAGCCGGCGGTCACGCTTCAATTAACCACTGATGAGGCTCTTGAATTGCAAAGCAGGGCCCGATCATGTCAGGACTGCTAAAAATAAGTTGCACGATTAACACACAAGCATGCACAAATCATGTAAGAAAAAAAAGAAGAAGAAGAAGAAGAAGTAGCTGACCGGGAGATAAGAAATAGATTGGAGTTACATAATATTTTTCTTTGTCACTTTAAAATAAGCCGATTAAGTAATGGTTATCGATTGATTAACAATTCACCGTTTTTGTGCCGCATAAAAGATTTCGACCACAATAAATCGTTTCAAAAGTAAAAACAAAAAACAAATAAAACTTTCAACAGATAAAACAACCAAATCGGTTTCTTTGTTGTTATTTTTCAAATTTGTGAATATTGATGACAAAGTTTCACTGTCATTAGTAGGCATGTTGTTCAATTTTCTCATTTTCATTTTCCACTAGCACGCATAGTTTGCAAACTAATTAATTGCAGAAAGGTATCAGTCAGGACTAGGGTACCAAAAAGCTCCATATCATTTTTCCACTCAGAGCAGCGCAATAAAAACAATTATAAATAAATGGAGAAAATATGGGGATAAAAGGACATTTAAAAATTGCACGTATTAAGATGGCAAAGGTTCAGAAATAATTTATTCTTATCTTATTTTTGACATAAAAAACTGCAAGTTTATCAGGCGTTTGACAAGTTCACTCTGTAACTGAACACACATTAAATTATTACATTTAATGTCTATTTTAAATTCATTTTTTATTATTCTTGCGACTGTTATGACTTTCCTCTTTTCCTTAAAAATATCTCCTTAAACTGTACTGTTTTTTTTAAATAGTAAATAGTGGCGACAGATAGTAGGTAAATGTAATAGACCTAAAATGCTTTTGCAAAGGAAAAACACCCCCCACCCCCTTTCCCGAAATAAGAGACGTCAACATTGCATTTACTCAAGTCTAATCAGGTCAAAGAAAACGTCTGAATTTGTTCAGGATTAGCAGACAAACTTGAAGTAAATCCCATTGATGGGTGTAGTTCACTGGGTGGCCAAACCAACATTTGCGTTTTTCTTGGCCGGCCTTGGTGCCACCAGATCTCCTCCTGTGTGCCAGTGGCTGTCAGGTGACACAATGACAAAAAAAAAAAAAACTGGCAACACAAGTGGAGTGACAGATGTTACAGGACTTGTATTTCAGGTGTGTGACTCCTCATCACCACGAGTGTTACAATCAATTTAGTTTTTTTTGTTGTTTTTTTCTTTTTTCACCTGAGAGATGAGATTTTAGAGTGCAGCAGGCAGCACTGGAGCATGCCGCGTAGCAAGTTTCCAACATGATAATTCAAAGTAATTTGATTAAAAAAAAAAGAAAGACTAACCAAAAAAAACCTTTAGTTGTGTCACAGTAGGGGAGTGTTATGATATCAGTAAGGAGGTGTGGAGCCGGGAGAATAACTCCATCTTAAATTACCATGCTGCTGGGGGCCAGAAAGGCAAGAATAACCTGATAATTTACTTGTTAGGTTCCTGTGGGTTGTTCTCAAGGATTTTCTGTTCTCCAGCAAGCTTTGGAAGGGAAACACTGCCACCTGGCGTTGGATTCCTTTATAATCTTTTTTCCCCAAAGTTTTCCCCATTTTTTCTCAACGAGATTGACAAGTCATCAATGTTTCAGTCCATTTTGATCACGTACTTCAGGGGTGTCCAAAGTGTAGCCCCGTGGCCATTTTGTAGCCCTTGAAATTATTTTTGGCGCTAAACCACAAGGTAAGAATGGTAAAATAAAATGAAAATAAAAGTGTATTTTGCCTTCTTAATCGAATGAATTTTGTGGCTCCTTAGCGGTCTCCAAACTTGCATTGTTTGGAGACCAATGTAAGTTTTCCAGCCTTCAGAACAAAAAGTTAAAACTGGATTCAAAGCTCTTCCACGTTTGCTCTGACTCCTACCTGCCTTTTTTCTTCGTGGGAAACACTGCCACCTGGTGTTGGATTTGTATCGCAACCCAAAACGTACCAGGATCACTAAAACAAAAATAAATAAGAAACATTTAGTCATGCTTATTTCAAGAAGTTGAACAATTTACAGTAGAGGTCAAAGGTTTTGTAGTTTTGTTTTTATTTTTTTTACAATGTTTTTATTTTTAATAAACAGTTAAAATGAGTTGAGGTTGCTATTAAATGTGATCGGAAAACAATATGTTACTAAATCAAACAGTACCATCTCTTCGAGCATAAAATTGTCAATGAGCATAATTTGACTGATTATTAATAATAATAATATAATGACATTATAATTATAATAGTAAAAATAATTATTAATATTATAATAATATAATTATAATGATATAATAATAATAATAATAATAATAATAATAATAATAATAATAATAATAATAATAACAATAATAATTAATAACAATAATAAGTGAGGGCACATTAACAATGTATCAAAATAATACTGTCGCGTTATCAAAAGAGGCATACACACGTTTTTTTAGCACGTTTGCATAAAACACAACAAAAACAAAACAATAAAAACGATTGGTTTTTATTGTTTTGTTTTTATTTATTTGTTTTAATTATTAAACATAAATAGACTGAAGAAACCTAAATGTGCCAACGTATCCGAGGTATTGAAGTTCAGAACAAGTTGCGGTTTCCGTCAGAGTCTCAGTCTCTGTGTCTGCGGGTTTGATTAGTGACGCCTGGAGACCCAGACCGGCGCAGTGGAGCCCGGATGAAGCGGATTGACAGTCTGCAGGGCGGCGGAAGTTCTCCGCATCCCCAGCTGTGAACCGGTGAGTTTCGGGGCAGAGACGGTAAAACGACGTGTCGTCCTTGTGAGTCGCGCTCCTTATTTTCATTCGGCTGATATTGTCTGTCTGTCTGTGCTCGGCTGTCGAAGCGGTGTCCCGTTAGCCAAAACCTGGACTGCTGAATTATGTAAACACTCACTGTTATCTGCTAGCATGCCAGGCTAAAAGCAGAGAGAAGTGTCATTTATTGTGAATAAAAACTGTGCAGCCGCGGGACAGTAAGTCTATCAACAGCCTTGCAGAGGCATTCAGGCCTTTTAACATTTTTAATCTTGTCACGTTGCAAACACTGGCTTATTATATTGGGGCATCACGTTGTTTCGTTAATGCGTAATTGTGGTTTAAGGAAGAAAGGTGGGTGGGAACCTGAAAAATGTGATGCATGTTAAACACTTGCTGCGGTGTCTGAATTGGACCTAGATCTGGACTTTAAGCTGTTTTTTTTTTTAGCACTTGAATGTGCTTCCATACAACCGGTCCACTGTTGCCATGGCGACATAAATCTGGTCAATAGTAGAGGTTGACATGCATTTACCTTCACCTGCTGACCCCTCTGCCCTGCTGACCCCTCTGCCCTGCTGACCCCTCTGCCTCCCTTTCCCTACAGCATGACGCTGCCACCACCAAGGCGATGGTACTTTCATCATGCCGCAACTTTGTGTTGCTCTTTTGCATGAAAAGATAGTAAAGTTAGGAGACAAAATGTTTCGTTTATGATGAAACAAACAAAAATGCAACAGCCTACCTGGTGGCAGAGTGTGGCTCGTCTGTTTCTCCTTTTTTTTTTTTTTTTTTTATTAATTGACCATTTAGTACCTACAAAACAAACATTCCAGACTAACAGATGTATGAATCTACAAAACAATTAGATGAGTGAACAAACAAGCAGCAACAAAAATATGCATAAAAAGAAGAATGGACACATTTAGGACAAAAACAAAACACAGGACATAACCAAGTGGTGTCACACCAAAAATGGACTTGTTTCATAAATATGGGTTCGAATTTAGGATTATAATTACTACTTAATCTTGATAGTTATTTTCTGATATATATTTTTTAATTATTTCATCTTTTTCTCAGTTCTTGTTCTCATTAGTGTAGGCTCACACATCAATTTTGGATAGAAGTGGGAAAAAGAGGGAAGAGAAACAACAACAACAAAATTTAACAGAGTAAATAAGTAAACAAATTACTCGTTTTCAGCGTTGTGTGTTTTCCTTCCTGCTCCCGCTGTGTCACGCAGAGACTCCTCGGACAGGAGGACACCTGTCTCCATGGTAACGCAGCAGCCCCAGCTGCCATGTCCTCCGTCTCCATGTCAACGTCGGCCGCTTGCGGCCAGGACGCCGCCGTCCTGGCCTCTGAGCGCTACGCCAGCCTCATCCTGGCCCAGATGAACAAGATGCGTCTCCGCCGCGACTTCTGCGACGTGGGGCTCAGAGTGGGCGGGCGCGTCTTCAGAGTCCACCGGCTGGTGCTCGCCGCCAGCAGCCCCTACTTCTCCGCCTTGTTCTCCGGCGGGATGCGGGAGGCGGAGAAAGACGAGGTGCAGATCATCGGCGTGGACACGGAAATCTTTGAGATTCTGCTGGAGTTCATGTACACAGGTACGCCTCTTTTTTCTGCGTTTGCTTTTTTCCTTTCCTCCTGCGTTCGAGGTTGGGTTTTGTTTTGTTTTGCAAAGTTATCCGATCTGCGCCTTTCCTTTTGGATTTGTTTGTTTGTTCAGGGGCCATCAGTGTCAGCGTGGAGAACGTTCAGGAGCTGATGGTGGCCGCCGACATGCTGCAGCTGATCGAGGTGGTGTCGATATGCGGCGAGTTCCTCAAGGGCCACATGGACCCCTTCAACTGCGTGGGCATCTTTCAGTTTCTGGAGCAGATCGCCTGTATGGAAATGCTGGAATTTACCGAGAACTACATCCACGTTCACTTCCTGGAGGTATGGGCATCGTCCATCCACATTCTGTCACAGGGTTTCCATAAAACAACATGCCCAAATCTTATTTAGTTTTCCCCAGCAATTACAAACTCTACTTTGATAATCTTGGGGTCAGAATATGTTTACTAAACTTACTAAGCTTAGTAAACATATTCTTGGATGTCTAAAATTTCTTAATTTCTAAAAATAATAATAATAAAAAAATGTAAACACCCACATTTATTTTTTTTATCCGATTATTAAAAACAATGAGAAATTGCACTATTGAAGTGTAGCAGTATATATTATCAGTGTCAATAATAGATCATACGTTCAATAGAATTTTCATGCCTGGCTAAAAGCCAGAGACACTGAACATTTAGAACCGCACGGCATTCTGGTGGATCCTATCACTAGCTAGCTTCTCTCGCTCGCTCGCACACTCACTCACTCACTCTTTGGTTACCTAGCAACAATCTGTTGAGTAGCTGGCGCAGTAACGGTTTCAGGTTTTGCCAGTGATGCCTCGTAACTATTTAAGAATAAACAAACAAGGGCGTTGAGTGAAAAATGGATAGAACAGGAAAGATACCTAAAACAAAAATCGAATCAGTAGTTATCGATATCGATTGATATGAAACCCGTATGCATCCTCCAGCCCTATCAAACATCACTTTTTTTGATACAGTCCAGCAAATATAAAATAAAAAAGTAACACATTTATGGTCATAAATGTTTTTTTTTTTTGTTTGTTCCGGACCGTGCGTGTGTATCGTCCGTGTTCACCGCCTCCTTCAGGTGTGCGTCACGGACGAGTTCAGAGGCCTGTCGAAGGATCAGTTGGTGAGGCTTCTGCGAAGCGAGGAGCTGAGGATCGAGGACGAGTACCAAGTGTTCACGGCGGCCATGGACTGGGTCCTGCACGACGTGGCCAAGAGGAAAAAACACGTGGTCGAGGTGCTGGAAGCCGTGCGCTTCCCTCTGCTCTCCCCTCAGAGACTCTTCAAGTACATAGAAGGTGAGGAAAGTATGTCATTAGCACGTAAGTATGATTTTTGTTTGCAATGTGGCTTCAGTGAAGCTGGAGGGTTTAGTGCTTTCCATAGTTGTTATTATTTTTTTTTATTTATTTATTTTTATTAGTATGGCCCCTATTAATAGATCATTGTAAGAAGTTAGATTTTCTTGAAACACAACCCCCCCAAAAAATCTCTTCCCTCTCCTTTCTGAACAAAGGTATTACCGACTTCAGCCTGCGGGTGGCACTGCAGACCCTGCTGAAGGAATACACTGAGGTCACAAAGTCTCCCAAAGAAAATAAGCTGCACAGTCAGCTCCAACCAGCAAAGACGAGACCCAGAAGGAAAGCCAGGAAGTACCTCTATGCAATAGGTCGAGATCTATAAATGATGCCAAAACCACCAAGCCTGAAATAAGTCGAAACCCAGAAGTGAAACCGTGAATTGTTTCTTCCTGCCAGGCGGCTACACCCGGCTGCAGGGCGGCCGCTGGAGTGACAGCCGTGCGCTGAGCTGTGTGGAGCGCTTTGACACCTTCAACCAGTACTGGACCACTGTGTCGTCTCTGCACCAGGCCCGCAGCGGGCTGGGCGTGGCCGTCATGGAGGGCATGATCTACGTGGTGGGAGGTGAAAAGGCCGCGCTCTGCCTTAAGTCAAAAGTCAACTCCAGATGACGTGCATTTATTTGATTCCTTTTATGGTTTTGTTTCTCCCGACAGGCGAGAAAGACTCGATGATTTTTGACTGCACAGAACGATACGACCCGGTGACAAAGCAGTGGGCCGCCGTGGCGTCTCTGAATTTCCCGCGATGTGGCGTTGGCGTGTGTCCCTGCCACGGGGCGCTGTACGCACTCGGTAAAACGCCACGTTACTGCCGGGAGCACACGACTGCTGCAAGGGTCATTTTAGATGGGATCCGTCAAATTGCTCAAAATTTTATGAGTTGTACAAAACGCTGACAGCAAACGAAGCAAAGGGTACGCTTTATAAAATGGCAACAAAAACCATCCATTTATCTTACTGTATCGTTTTAAATGGCAGACTAAGACGCAGGTCAGTGGATGACTGTGAAGTGAGTAGGATATGGCACAGGGTTTTCAAATTTTCTTGCAGAAAAAAAATATCCATGGCTTGCATTTGATTCAGTTTATTTTAAAACCCCTAAATAAATGGAAATCTTAAATTGGCACAACATTTTTTAATGTACAATTTTCTTTGTACTTCACAATTTTGCTTTAGTTTGTGCTCATCTGGTGCTTTGAATCCCAACATAATACATTAATGTTTGTTGTAAAAGAGACAAAATGTAAAAAAGTGCAAACTTTCGGACGGCACAGTGAATGGATGAGCCTTAACCGATTGTAGTTTTCTGGTCGACCGCCGATCCTCAGAAAGCCTGACCTGCTGATTCCAATTTTGCCGGCCACTGATTGGCTCTCGAGTGAAAGTTGCTAAATATAGCAACAATAGGGTGGTAGCACAGCGAAATAGGACTAACTGCTGCTTTGGAGGCAGATAAGTTCGTTTTCAGAAGTATTGGCCGATTGCTGACCTCCCAACTTGAAGGAATCGGAGCCGATTTATCGATGCACCCCTGATCTCAAGCGGCTGAAGACGCCGTCTGCTTGCAGGTGGTTGGATCGGATCGGAGATCGGGAAAACCATGGAGCGATACGATCCGGAGGAAAACAAGTGGGAGGTCATCGGGAGCATGGCGGTTCCCAGATATTACTTTGGCTGCTGTGAGCTACAGGGTCTGTTTATCATTTTATTTTTTCTCTGCTTTTAGCTGAAATTAGATTTTTTTTTTTCACATCATTTGGAATAAAATGCGAGAAAACTTTTTCATTATTATTATTATTATTCTCAGGGTTAATCTATGTGATTGGTGGGATCAGCGATGAAGGAATGGAGCTGCGCTCAGCTGAGGTTTATGACCCCATCTCGCGTCGTTGGAGCGCCCTGCCGGTGATGAGCCAGCGTCGGGCCTACGTGGGCGTGGCCTGCCTCAACAACTGCATATACGCGGTGGGAGGCTGGAACGAGGCGCTGGGCGCTCTGGAGACGGTGGAGAAATACTGTCCTGAGGAGGTGAGGCGGGATTTTGCACTCGCGGTCTCGTGTCTCCGAGCGCTTTTCTCTGATGTGTCCCCACCCCCTGCAGGAGAAATGGGTGGAGGCGGCCCCGATGTCCACGGCGCGTGCGGGCCTGTCGGTGTCGGCCGTCAACGGGCTGCTGTACGCCGTGGGCGGACGCGCCGCCAGCAGGGACTTCTCGGCGCCCGTGACGATGGACTCCGTGGAGATCTACGACCCGCACCTGGACACGTGGACCGAGGTCGGCAACATGATCACTAGCCGCTGCGACGGCGGGCTGGCCGTTCTCTGACGGCCGCCGCTTTGAACTGTGAACATTGTGGGAGGCGAAGGAAACCGTGGAAACGTTGCACCTTAAAACTCCAAAAGAAAGAGGGTTGATGCTGTTTCTACGTGTCTCCTTTTTAACTACAGCTCTGGGAGGTGCCAAACCGCTCTTCGTAACTTCAGTAAGAGTAAATTGTTTTACTTGAAACAGAGAGTGACATCAAGCGTGTGATACGAACTTTAGACGGGGCTGACGAGGGCAGTCGCCCAGGGCACCGCGGTTTGGGGTTGTTTTCATTATTCCCCTTCAGAGGGGCGCCCCAAAGACTTAGGATGGTTTTGTAATGAATGCACGTTTTACAAGAATTGTACCTTTTGTCAAACTGAAAGGCCCATATGAAGTGCAGAGTTTTAATATTGTTACATTTTTATTAATGTATACAATAGTCAAATATTTCAAGAATTTTGAAGTCATACTACATCTTTTAGTGACTTTTTAAACCATCTGCTGATGCACCTATTAATGTACTGTAATTTGCATGAGTCTAATTATTTTCTTTTTTTGGATAAGGCACCAAAACTAGCGCTATTCCAGGGGCCCTGGTCCTTCTAAATCCGGCCCAGGTGACCAGATGAAGCCGTTTTTCCTTTCATTAGCTTCTTGGAGGTCATTACCATTTTATGGTTTTGTTGTATGCCGACAGTGAAACTTTTGGTTGTTCTTAGTGTCAGACTCATTTATTACTGGAAACTTGATGGAGGATGGTCTCTCTATTTTCACTGGATGATTATTTGTACATAATGCTGCTGGAAATCTATATTATTTATGTTTACTCCTGTCATCTGTGGGCGCCGTTACATTTCAACTCTGATTCTGAAATACCCATTAAAACTTTTCCCACAAACTGTCACCTGACAACTGCAACATCTTAGTGCATTTTATCTGGGTTTTACTGGAAATGAAAGAAGAGGTTCCATTCACATGTAGAGACCTGACATTTTTACAACTGGGCGGAAAGCCTCTACCAACACAACCTTTACAAGTCTTGCCGCATGTCGTTTCAGTTGGAATTATGCCCGGGGTTTGACTAGGACATGAACTGTATTTGTTCTAAACCGTTCTGTTGTTGCTCTGCCTCCATGTTGTAGTTTTCCTGCCAGAAGGTGAAGATTCACGTCACCAATTTTATCCCGCTTCATGTTCCTGCTGAAGAAAGGGTTTTCCCACAGCCTGAGGATGCCACTGTGCTCCATGGTGGACATGGTGCGGTCAAAGTTTTATCTTTGACCGCACATTAGAGCGTGACTTTTTGCTTCAGCTTACCGGTAATAGGTTCCGCACTTGAACGGTGCTCACAGCTGTATTTGTCGGAAAAATAAACCGAAATGAACATGGTCAAAACTGTCAGATGTTTTTTTTTTTGAATAACTTAAACAATAGTACTATGGAAAAGATAATGTTACCGGTCACAAAGAACGTTTGACAGCATGGAATAAAAATGTTATACTTTAGATTTTTTTTAAAATTAAAGTTGCTCACAATTTGGCACTAAAAGTGTCAAATTCTGTTTTAGAAAATTATATAGATTTGTGATTGTTTATTAATTGTTTCTGTGGAATCCCTGCGAAGGCCGTTTCGATACACAGTTAATTGCATGATAAATTAAAATGTCCTTGACCATTTTCATCATGATTTGTGCATTTTTGAAAGGCAGTTTTATTCATAGAGACATTATAATCTGTTTTATCTGGTTTTTATTTCTGTTGTATTTACCATTTTTGATTGTTGCATTTAATTTTGGATATTTAAAATATCTTCTAGTTTCAGTCTTAAGTGTTCTTCACAAAAGTAAAGTTTATTTGAGAGGACAAACTTGCATTATTATGCCATTGTCAATATATAGCCTAAAAATAATCCCAAAGCAACAATATTACTGTGTTTCACAATAATTTCTGAGACAATTTGTCATACAGAAAGTATTTAATTTTATGAGTTCAATTTAAAAAAAAATAACTCCCCTAATTCACTTCTCCGTCTCCTTAAGTTTTCTCTCTACGCAGACTTTCTTGAGTATCAACGTGGCAACAAGCGAGAAGGTGGCGACCAGAGTGAGGATGGTCCTCATGGCTCTGAACCAGGCGGGGTAGCCCGGCAGCAGGGTCAGGTCGTAATGCAGCGACAGGCCCAGTCCCATCATTACCACCAATGCTCCCTCTGTAACATTGTCCCTGCAGAGCAGCGCCAGCCACGCCAGGAGCGACGGCACCACGCTGTTCCCCAGGTTCATCCAGTCCGGCTTGGCAGGGCTGCCGGCGGGGATGGCAAAGCCCCATCGGGCCCCTCCGAGGAACGACACTATGGAGGCTCCATACACCATCTGAGCGTAGGCTACTTCCGGGTAGAAGGACTGGGTGGCAGCCATGAACAGCGGGGCGGAGAGAAATGGGATGAGGCCCGAGAATCCCAGGTAAAGAGCCGGTTTGGGTGCCTGAGCGAGGGCCCTCATGCCTTTTGCCGAAGCGTCTCTTGAGTCCCCGTGACACAGACGAGAGGTCACCCAGCTCGCGGGCCTGATGCTCCGACATCCGCTGCCGGATGAGGGTCCAAAGGGCGTAAACAAAGCGCCAGATGGGGAAGGAACCAGCAGCGGGGTTCCTGTTGTGTAGCTAGGTGGTCTGGGTTTCAGATGGATGCATCTCCACACTGGATGCTAGGTGGCAGGGCACAGAAAAAACATCAACACCACTGCTGTTTCACAAGCTACCGCATGTTGTGATATGTGCCGCTAAGACCAACACGCCACTATTTACAGCACCTTCCAAAAGAAGTCAGACTTCACTTCATTTTCCCTCAGGGCCGCCAGGCTGTACTTGTGCCCCCACCAGGCTAAATGTCATTTGTTTATTTTAAATAGGGTTCTTTTTTATTAAGCTGGGTTTCTATTTGACACATTGAACTGGGCGTGAGGGAGTGTGTCGTCTATCAGCCTGCCGTACTATTATTTCCAAATTATGATGCCAGCTCAGGCGCGCCCAAATTTTTGTAACTTTTAGCATTTTTTTAAATACAAAATCAGGATGGACCTTGAGCACCGGGCTTAGCAGGTTTTGTGGGGGAAAACCTGGACTTGCTGAACTTTTCCCATCAGATCTGCTCGCTTTCAGTGGAACAAGTCTAAACATGCAGAAGGAGATGCCATAGGAAGGTTTATATCAAAATGTATTCATGGAATATTCGCGAGAAACAGTCAGACCACTTTTACTCTTTGTCAAATCTGGCTTTGTTTGAGCTATTCTGTAATAGAAATGTCCCTTCCTGGAAGTGGTAGGGACATATCTCAAAGACCTGTAAGTGCTTCAAAAATAGGATTCTACATAGTATCGATGCTGGAACTGAATACAAATGATCCTCACACTGTTGTGGTTTCCTTCTATTGTTTTCCACTTGATTATTTGGCACCACTGGTCTATCAAATTAAATCCTAATAAAATGCATAGACAAAATATGGACAAGTCCAGTGCTATTTGTAGAAGGCACTGCAAGCAAACATGAGCAAGCTTCATCATCTTACCCCAAATATGATCTTCCTTCCGGATGAAAACAGCAGCATTTTAACCTACAAATGATAAGAAAACGTGTAACAAAAACAGCACAAGCTTTGTGTCTAGATTAGCAAACAGAAATCTGTTGTTTTACTCACCTAGCTTTCAACCGCTGATGCAATAAAACGCTATTCAAGTGCAATAGCTTTCATGATGAAGCATGGGCGTCATAATTACCTTTTTGTGACTCTGTAACTTCGCTGCCTCCTACCGGTTTATCCTGGGCAACTTAACGACTACAAAAATCTACTTAAAGGGGCCAAAGTTAACGTGAACTAGCTAAAGCAGAGGTCATTTTCTCCCCGCCACCCCGTCGGCGCTCGATTAAAAGCCTTTCTTAATTCTGACATCGATTAGTCTGACTCTAGACTGACTCGTTGAGCTGCATTCAAAGCCGCACCTTTCCACTGTCCCCATCATCAGCGCTTCGGTTTTTGAATGCTTCTGGGAACACTAGTATAATTTTTTGCCGATATACTCATGCGTTTGTTCTATTATCTAAGTACGAACGCATTTTTGAAAGTAGCGTCACTCAGAAAGTTCCGCCGTCGAGCTGTTTAAAACTTCCGCCCGTTGTATACTGACGGGAGTTCTTGAACGCAACACATTTGAGGCTGTTCGAATCCCTTCAGTGCCAGCGCCAGTCGTAAGCGCACCTAAAACCCAAACAAGCATAGACAACCCGATTTTCGAAGAAGTTTGCAGATACAGAGAGAAGTGGTGTTTGCTGTTTTCACAGAGTTCCTGTGTATGGGAACCCCTCTCTTCCGGAGACTGCCTTGCTCCTGAGAAGGTAGGCGCTATCGTCATGAAACACTGCAAGTTAGCTCGCTAGCACTTAGCAAGCTGATAAATGTGTGCTGCTGCTGCTAAGGTAGCCATTTTGAAACTGTGTTGTTCCAACCAAGCCAGGTCTGTTTACCTCTTTTGTATGCCCGTGACAGTTGCTCAAATTGGTGGTTTTGTGCATTATTGCAATAATAAGTACATTTTCAGTCGACTAAGCCAGCTAACCCCACGCACTCCTGCTAAATACTTCATTGTTTTCACGGGCGACTAAACAGGCTAGTTAATGTCAGCTCTTTGCTAACAATTGCTATGCTAACGTGAACCTTAGTTATGGAGACAGTTTGCTAGCTGTGGAGGTGGGACATAAATGACGGCGCAATATTCTGGTGGTTATTACCAACTAGTTAACGAACGCTGTGGAATATTTACCCCTATGAAATACACCACAGCACTTTAAATCGTTAAATTTAGCTCGGCGAAACGTGCGCGTAACTGTTGAATCGGGCTGCTTGCTGCTCGCTGCAGCTCCGTGGCCACATTGGGTTTGTTTACGACGAGGCGCCGTTAGCGCAACTGTTTTTTTTTTTGTTTTGTTTTTTTCTAACTGCGAAATTAACGCACGTGCATTTTGGTCGACAATAAAGTGAATGTATGAGTCGCAAAGTGCTGTCCGCGGCCAACTCATTGATGATGAGCTCTTACGTAATGGCTTAGTGAGGTGAGGATACGTTAACCAGTCCAGGCTCTTGTCCCTGCGCGTGAAGCTCGCCGCGGACACGGCATCGCCAAAATTTAATGAAAGAGACCTTCAGTGTCGAGACGAAGTCCAGGTTTCCTTTCTGAATTAAAACTTCACAGAAGACAGCAGACGCCTTTGAACGTCTGTTTCTTCGAGCGCGTCTGAAATAAGTCTTTTGGTAAACGTCACACATTTAGGCTGCTTGTCGTAACTTTAGGGACTTAAAAGGAATTTAAATGCTTGATTAAAACCTACATTTTCTATTTAAAAAGTTTCGACGTATTCTAAGTTCACCATTGTGTTTTATTGTAGTAGCTGCTTGGTTGCTAATGGTTATTATAGATGTAATTTTGCGCTTCTGGTGAGAAGTTTTCATGAGTTTCTGTTTAACATGAGTGCATTTAATGTTTTTTTTTTGCCTTATAGTGATTTATTCCAAAAGTTTCTTATGTATTTTTGTTGAACCAGAATTTGGGTGACACATTTTGAATTGTTGATTTTATTAATTTATTTTTTTAAACACATGGCTCAAAATTATTCATACTTACTAATAATAGGTGAAGTGTCCCTTTGTATGCAATATTTGTCAATGGAACAGACAGTGGAGAAATTGTTAAAAACAATTCCGACAATACTGTCAGTTTTATTCTTGTAACGGCATTAATTGGATTTTATGGTGACAATGATGATGGATAAAAAATGTCAAGAAAACTTCACAATAAACATTGCAACAAATGCCATCCATTTTCCATTTTCCAGAGTTGAGAATGATTCCAGATGTTTATTCTTTGCCTTTTCTACCAATACCAGTCTCATATGTGTTTGAGGACCGTTGGCTCTTTAAAACAAATTGTACATTACTCTTTTTGATGTCATTGTGGCCAAATATTTACCGTACATTTTGCCTGGTTTCGTCCACATGCAAAAGTTTCAGTCGAACTTTTAAGGTGACTGAAAAGTTTGAAATCATTGAAAATATTTGAATTTCAATGATGTGTTTTCGAAAGGCCCTGATTTCTATATAAAACCTTTGAAAGTGGTTGATATTCAGACGGCAAAGCTTTACAATAAAGTGCAATCTAACGCTTGAGCAAAAGCCTTAATTTGGAAATAATCATTTGCAGTTGAAACCAGATTTTTTTTTTTCATGCAACTTAAAAGATGCACACATTTTTTTGTTTAATCTGTGTCAGAAGTTAAATCAGACTAAACTTTTCCTGTTTTACATCAGCTATAATTGCCAAAATTATTTCTATTTATCAAATGACAGAAAATGTCACTTATTTTTCTTTTAGTAGGTTTTCTTTATTGTGTGTGTGTGTGTACATTTAATTTGAGCAGGGAGATTAATTACCTTAACACAATCTGTTTGGAATGTTTCAATATAATAAGTATTTATTATTCCTAATGGCTCAGTAGACTCTGTGGAAATGAAATTAAGATTGGCTTATATTTCATACATCAAGAAAAGTTATTGAAATTGGTGATTTTTTTTTTATTTTTGTTAAATTAATGTTTTGTTCTCTGCCTCGTCAGGTGTTTAGGTTGTGTGAGAGAAAGAT